TTATTCTTGTTTTTTTTTTTTTTTTTTTTAATGATTTTATTGTTTTATGATGGAATTTTCTTAAATTACATAAGCGATGGAAAAATTTTGTTTGTACATGCTGTTATTAAATTCAATTAGAATATTAAAAATTTACGAAATCGTTGACACCTTTATTGCTCTATGTTTTTCATAAAATATTTACACATTTAGATATAAATCATTATATATAAGCTATATTATATTAATTTATTTTTAAAATATCTTATTTATAATAAATTATGATATATTAATGAATATATCTTATTTATATATAAATTAAGTTTTTTTTAAAACTTGTACGCAAATGAATTAATCATCGTAAATAATGTAATGTAAATCTTTCCAAAGTTGTCTATCTTCATATATAGTTAATTAAGCAAAATCAATGTTGACTAGTATTGTGCTTTAATTAATGAATTACTTTTATGTGTTTGATATAATATATTACACAATTCAATATATTAAAATAATATTTATTTCAAGAATACTAGCAATTATCGGATTAATAAAAGATTTTGGTATATTTTGTAAGTTCAATGTGATATACGTATAACCCTCTTTCATAAATACATAGATAATTTTTGAGAATAAGAGATTTAATAAAAATATCTTATATATTTGTACATAAGTATGCTTTATATTATTATTATAATTTAGCTTTTTAAGAAAATTGAGAGCTTTGATTGCTTGAAAGTATAAAATATATTTTAAAAACATTCTGTTTTATACTTATTATTGAATCTTATCATTAAAAAAAAAAAAAAAAAAAAAAAAAAAAAAAAAAAAAAAAAAAAAAAAAAAACAACGATAATTTTTCAAGGAAATCGATAATTTTTCAAATACTTTATTTCTATTATATATTTTAATTTATGATAATAGTATAACAATGTCTACTTTTCTGATAACTAAATGAATCTAAATGACTTGTTATATCATATTAATTAAATTTATGTAAAGTATTATGAAACTTTGAATATTTATTTACGATAATCTTATACTTACATTTTTTGTTATAATTGTTATATTGATTTAACAGAATATTTCAAATTATTTTATGTTATTAATCAAATATGTGTTTATAAGTATCAACATATTTTAAAATAGTATAATATATTCAAAAACATTGGCGAATATCAGTAAAAATATCTTGAGGCTCAATATCACTGTGAACACATGTTTTATACTCTTTGAATACATATTGCACATAATTTTTAGTCATTTGTTTTTTTGTTATTTGAAAATTTAGCACAAGTACAGCTTATGCATATAATTATAGAGTTTAAAATATTCTAAGAAAAATTACAACTATATATATACATTTAAATAATTTCATATGAATTAAATTTGAGAAATAAATAGTGACAACTTTCCAATATATGCTTGATTTAAAAATTATTTAATAGAAAATGTTGAAAAAAATCATATTTTCTTATGCTTTTTATGATTTCATGATGTTTATATATAAACGAATAAAGTGTATTAAATATAAAATAAAATAATCTTTCAATTATCATTTTTATTTCATTTAATATAAGCAACGAATGAAAAATATTGTCATTATTATGACTAATTAACACTTTTTATACATTTTCAAAGAATTATTTAATAAAAAATGTTAATTAACATGTTTATTAATATTTATATTTTTTTAATGTTCTTGAAATAAATAAAATTAGTATTAAACTATTATATATATATGATAATATAATAATAATTATATACAATTGAGATATTTATAGAAACAAAAATGTAGAAATGGAATAGAATGACTTAAAACATAAAAATAAACTATTTAACGAATTTAATCGAAAATTGCAAGATTAAAAATTGACAATTATATGGTGTAATTAGAATCGCTATATTAAAAAAAAAAATTTTAAATTGAATATAAAGCGTATTATTTTCATTTTTTCATTTTTTTAAAATAGAAAAACACATATCGTACTATTTTATTGTTGGTTTATTATTTAGTATCAACATTCATTCATTTTTTATTCTAATATAAATAATTTATTTCAACATACTACTTAGATGCTCTAAAAATTTACAAGATTTTTCAAAAAGTACCTACCAAAATAACACGATGAATATTGAAATTAGAAAGTGGAAGTAAAGTAAATTATAAAATTATAAAGCAAGTGAGTTATCATAGTTATATTAAGTTTATAAGCAAAATGATATATAACGACAATTTTATCAAAAACATAATCAACAAATTGAAGAACGTACAAATTCCAAAAGTTTTTTTAATTATAAAAGATGATGAACACATTATATCTTACTTGTGCCTACTTATGTCTAACATATATTTATAAATAGTTAATTTTTAATAATTTAGGAAGACACAAAATTGGAAAACAAATTATAAGCGTAAGTATCTGTTTATTTATTTATGCATTTTCTTTTACATGAGTAATTACGTAGAGTGTGCTCTCTTTATCAGTAAAGAAATATACAATTATATCAATTGTAAAATGCATATAAAAATTATCGCAATAAATAATATATAAAACTATTCGTAGCAATAGTTAGAATAGAAATATTTATATATTTAATATTTTCTATAATTCCTAATTAATTAGATTCAATTCCAATCAGTTCACTTTCAATTTCTAAAATACCTAATTAAATAGTTGGTTATTAAATGGTAAATTAAATGGTTGGCTGTTGATCGTTGCACGAAAGAAATTTTCATAAGACATTGTTTTTACATATTGCTGAATATAAATTTTTTAATTTTTATTTATAGATAAAGTTATTAAATAATATTTTTAATAATCAATAAACAATTATCAAGAAAAAAAAAATGGTAAGAACAAGTAATGAACTTCTTATAACACTAAGACAAGAATTAAAATTTCAAGATTGTTTTGAATTCAAAATAAAGTTTTAAAATATTAATATATTATAATTATGACATTCAATCAAATAAAATTTTCGATTACTATTTTATGTCTTTTTTGTTTTTTAAATCCTTTTCATACGAATTGTAATAGTTTTTTATTGCAACATTATCAGTTTTTTTACAATTTTTATAACAATTAAGATTGGTGAAACATTAACATTGTTAAATATAATTTAGATAAATTAGGTAAAAAAAAAAAAAAAAAAAAAAAAAAAAAAAAAAAAAAAAAAAAAAAAAAAAAGAGAGAAAAAATATTGGAGTTTCAAGCAAATGGAAATTGAAAAAATGTATTATAGAGTAAATGTATTTTTTTTTTTCCATCTTGGTCACCATAATAGTCTATATGGATGGTATATAGGAAAAACGATTTCAGTAGTTGTAAAATCATAAAGGTATAAGTTTTATAAATTTTTAATATAAAGAAAATACAAATAAGTACGCAAAATTTATATAGAAGCACGCACATGTATAGGGAAATATCAATAAAATACAAGTCGTTTCGATAATAAGAAATTTTCTATTTTGTACAGAATATTCGTTCAATTTTATTTAATAATAAAATATGATTGAATATTGTATTACATATTGAATTTTAAAGGTACTTCAAATGCGGATGTTTGTTAGAAATTAATTATATAAACAATAGATTATATAGTCCTTCGAGAAATATCATTAATGTCACGGAAAGATCGAGAATAAATTTTTTGTCTACTTTAAAATTTTCAACAGTTATGTATGTAAATAATGGGCAATCACTTGTAATTATTATGACATAAAAAGTGAAAACTATCATTTTTGATAATTTAACGTATAAACAGTTAGATATATATATATATATATATATATATATATATATATATATATATATATATATATATATATATATATATATATATATAAATTAACTATATATTATACTAATTCAATGAAGCATATATAATACATTAAACAAAAAGGTGAAAATTCATAATTTAAATTATTACTTTATTACTATCAATAATAATGTATGTTGAACAGCTCACAAAGAAAAATTTTCTGTTCAATGTTCTTTATGATGACTTAGACGAATTTACATTGATAAAAAATCGTTTATCTGCGGTTGTACACTTGTTCGACAAAATATAATTTCCTACAATAAATTTTTTTTTTAATTTAATATTGTACTTTGTTGAAAAATTTTATAATTATAAAAAGAATAATTTTTCTAAATTATGTTTTCATAATTTACCATTTTGATTGTTTAATTTCTTTTCCATACCAAATTTTATTGTTTGTTTTTTGATTGTCATAATATATTCATAATTATAATTACTAGATTTTTTTTACACATTTCAAAATAAATTAAAACCATTACATCAAGTTATCGTTCAACTACTTACCATTATACATTATTCTATAAATTTGATATAGTTGATTTTAAATTTTTTCTTAACGTTTAACAATATTTGTATTAAATATAAAAGCGGTATGAAATACTTTTTATATTATTGTTATTACTATTACAATTATTATTATAACTTTTTAAAGAATATTAATTATATATTATACATTATTCAAAAATAAAATTATATTTTATATTTATTATGCATGTTATTATCTTATTTAATAAAAGATATATTTAATTGTAAAATTATGTAAAATGTAAATGGATGATGATTATTTTAAATTTATTTTAGCATAAATACACCTGAATAAAAGAGTGACGAATATCATTTAAGATTGAAATTCAGAACATATGTCATATGATTCAATACTAAAAAAACATTTTCATATACATATATATGATCACACACACACACATACACACACACACACACACACACACACACACACATAAACAGAGCCAGACAGACTGACAGACAGACCGACACACACGCGCGCGCGATCGCATACATACAATCTAGTTTCCCATATAATATTACAGAAATAAAATGAAATGTTTATATTTGTTCAATTAATACGTACACAAAATTAAATTAAGTCCAATAAAGTAAGTCCAACTTATATTTCAAATAAAATTATAGATAAGAAATCTATATCAATACAGTTTTAACGATTAACATCGTGTATTTTTGGACATTTATCTATTCATTATCAAAATGAGAGCTGCTTTAGTAACATTTTTTGTAATTATAGCATTTGGAAAATCATTGGCTAATAAGACCGAGTCAATGACAATTTCGTGTTTAGATCTTCAGAGTATACCTTTTGTAGGGACAGTTATAACATGTACTAGTACTACTCATGCAAGTGATTTGTTAGTCAAATTTTATCTTTCAACAAATAAAATTAGAACTCCTAAAGAATTTGGGCCTTGTGATTTATCGAAGCTTCAAAATTATTTTGATCCTTTAGAAGAAACTATTATCATTATTCATGGCTACTTGGCTAATGTGAAAAGAGATTGGATTTGGGATTTAAAGGATAGGATTCTTGATGCAGTAAGTAAAACTATTAATAATAATAATATGGAAACACCTTCGCATAAGCATGCGCGCGCGCACACACACACACACACACACACACACACATATATATGTACGCTATTATAATTAAATAATATAATTAATAATTATATTAATGATATATATTGTATATATTATATATTATATATTATACATGATAATCATTATATTAATATAATGAATAGAATAATACAATCATTAATATGGAAATTAAATATTTATGCTCAAAATTTCTTAACAGCTTGCATACAAAAAAAAAATCATAAATGTTCTGTATTAATATTCTTTATATTTCTCTTTAAGAAAAAAGGTAATGTTATTATGGTTGATTGGAGTAAACTAAGTACCCGGAAGAACTATGTTAATGCTGCCAGGAATACTGTGACCGCTACTCAGCAAATATTTGGGTATGAGCAATTACTAGTTAGTGAAATGATTTTTTTTTTTTTTAATTAACAAAATGTCATTCGCCAAATGAATATTAATAATTTTACGAGTATTAAAATTATTAAAAATATATCTTCGATCAACTTGCAATTAGTGTACACTAATAATATATAATCTAATTTAACGGATAACTGCTCTATATATAACAAATTTTGATTTATGACGCAGAACTTTTTATTTCCAATTTCCAATTTACAATAACACAACGTAATACACAAAGTAACAATAAAATTTATTAAAAAAGGGAAATTTTATCTGAAGTAAATTGTATTCGAATATTTTATATTGGTTAACTAGTCTATGATAATTCAATTATTACTTCGTGTTGTAAATATAATTCTTTCCGATTTCAACAACGTAGTTATAAATAAATAATATGTAATTATATGAATTTAATGGAAGTTCTTCTTATAAAATATTGCACAACTATATAAAATTATTCTATATTTATTTATATTGCATTAAATTATAGAAAAGCATAGGTTATAGCAAAATTTTTAAAATGGTTAGAAGTCAAAGTATTTTATTAGAAAAAATTAGTATGTTTAATAGAAACTGAGATATTATTTTACTCTATTCAAATTAAAATTTTTCATTAATTTGCAATATCATTTAAAATGTGTTTAAGACTTGTTTCAAACAATATTATAAATCATGACCTTCTAATCAAGATAATTGAATAAAAGTCTTCGATTCGATTTATTTACAAATTATTATTATTAAAATCCTCTAGTATAAATGCTTTGCTAATTTTTTGTTTTTAACAAAATATCGAATTTCAGTTTCAAATTGTACAAATTTTCAATGTCACTTTAATATATGTGCACATTCATTTATTTAGATTTTATCATATTTCACGTAATGAATATCTATGTAATGTTTAATATCTATAGTATTTGTTAATATATAAATAAATAAATAAACGCGTTGTACCTTGCATAAGTATCATGTAAAGCACTTTTGACTCGTTGAACAGATTGATATGCAAGTTTGTAGAATAACGTTTTATAAAAACATTTATTTAATTGGCGCGGGTAATTGAAAATATTTAAATTGATGAATTTTTTCAATTGAATGATATTGTTACTATTCATATAAGAAAAATTAAATAATAAATAAAAGTATTTATACGAGTAGGTTAAATATGCCAGGGAATATTTCAAGTAAATATAATGAAAATATAATATGCGTTAGTAAGTTACAATTAAGATAAAGTTAAATAGGCCAATAATTCATATTATTATTATTATTATTATTATTATTATTGTTATTGATATTTCAAGTAAATATAATGAAAATATAATATGCGTTAGTAAGTTACAATTAAGATAAAGTTAAATATTATTATTATTATTATTATTATTATTATTATTATTATTGTCGATGAAAATAGAAAAATAATGTTGATTGATTTTTCATTTCATTATTCCCACACATCTTGATTCTTCCTATAACATACGCTTACTGCACTTTGAACATTTTAATATTTCACGGATGTAATGTATCGATTATTATTAGCTTTCTTCAGGCCATAAGGAGCGAAAGTAAAAACTTTAAATTTAGCGTGAAAAAAAAGAAGTGGAATCAGATATATTTCATTGGACACAGTCTAGGCGCACAAGTGAGTGGGCAAACCGCATATCTTTTGAAACAAGATCCATTTTGGCACGTAAATAGAATAACTGGTTTGGATCCAGCCAAGCCTTGTTTTACAGACGTTGATCCTAAATTAAGGGTCGATAAGCAAGATGCAGACTTTGTTGATATTATTCATACGCAAGTGGGTTATGGGGGCAATACCGATGCATTTGGTTTGACACAGAGTATAGGTTAGAAATTTAAAAAAAAAAAACTTTTAATATAACATATAAATCTAATTCTATAATGGCAAATACATGCGAGTTTAATAAAGGACTTTCATCGCTTAATAAGGTGCAAGGAAGCTATATTGTTTTAACTGCCTTTAAAAATGAAGTTATTGCAAAGGTAGAAAATCTGTAATAACTATCAATTAAGCGTCGACGGATTTACTATTTAATATTTATATACTATAAATCAAATATGAAATATATATATATATATATATATATATATATATATATATGGAATGAAATATGTAAGAATTTTAATCCTTTAGAGTTTTAATCAATGAAGTTGTATAACAAAAATTTTTCACACTTACGCATTACAAGTTTTTTGAGAATTAAGTTTCTGCAATAATATATGAGTAATAGAAGAATATTTTTAGATACTTTGCGATACGGTACATTGTACTTCGCGTATTGATTTATTTGAATTTTAATATATTTCATTTGTGTCCTAACATATAAAATCTTGAACAATTTGTATAAAAACTATCACAATAATTATATAATAATTATAATAACAATAATTAAATTTCACGGTAAAGAATTGTATTTCTTACTTTAGGACATGTAGATTTTTATGTTAATGGTGGTATTGTGCAGTCGCCTTGCTTGGGCACAGGTAAATCGACATTATTTTGCTTATTACGTAATCTTTTAGAAGTTGTTCGCTAAAATTTTATAAAATTTCTTTCTAGTTTTTACGTCAGAATGGTCGATAATGATTTGCAGTCATAGAATTGCTTATAAATTTTTTGCCGAGTCATTGCTCAATTCCATAAGTGGGGAATGCAAATTTTTAAGTTACGAGTGGGACGGAACTTATGACGATGCAGTAAAAAGTCTCAATCGTAAAAGAACTGGTTCGTATTGTTTAGATTGTCCCGAAATGGGAATAGATACACCAAAAAGTACGAAAAGAGGAGATTTCCTAATTATAACATCTACAGACGTACCATATTGCGGTAAGTGATTGTCACATACATTTTATTAAATTATCATGGTTTTAACGTACTTAATAAATTATTCTTTCATGATTTACAGAATTTAAGGAGAAAGATACAAAAACGGTATTAAAAGTTTTAAGGGTTAGTGATAAATTTTAATATTTAATAAGTATTTGATTTAAACATAGTATTTTTTAACTAATTCGATTTATTAATGTAAATGTATTTTACAGCGACTCAAATTTAAAAAGCCCTTGTCGATTACCACATTAATGCCAAACACGACGACAATTCAACCATAAAATAAGTTATACGTAATATTCTATATAAAAACTACTTGTTCACAATAATTGTATTATTTATTATTTTTATTTTTCGAGGAGCAAGATTTTTAAGACAAAAAGTGTTTAGTATTAGAAATGTTATTCTACTTATTAAGAAGATACGAGTATATAAGGAAGATTTGTTAATTAGAGATTTTTATCAACATAATATAACTCAAACTAATTATAAATTAGTTTTATCCGAGAAAATAATTTTATGTTAGAAAATAATGATCTATGATTAAATGAAGCTAATACATACCAATAACATTAAATAATTTTCTTGGATAAACCATTTAATAAAGAATCTGGAGATTTGGCACTACTTTTCAAAAAATTTCATTACTTAACAAAAATTTTTCAAAAAAATTGATTTTTTATTATACAATTATACAAATAATTTATTTGTTATTTTAAATAATAAAATCAAATAAAAAACAAATAATCTGTAAGAACTATAATATTTCTCATTCTTACTATTAGATATAAATGCGTATATTACATAAAAGTAAGCGTAAAACTGTGAAATTTTACTTTCTATGATATTTTATTGCATTTCAAATATCTCATTTTATTACCTTATATAAATATATACATACTTAGATTAATTTAGAATAAACTGTAATTATGACGAATTATGGCCACATAGATTTCTTTATTGTCTACGAAAATGATTCCATAATGTAATTAGAAATATTTTACTATGAATTAAAAATATTTCAAAATGAAGAATGTTAAGAAGATAATAAGAATAATATTTGCAGATGTTGAGATTATAATCTTTTCTACAACTACTTTCTATATTACAAATAAATTCTGAATTTTATGTATATATATTTTTTCGATCAAATATTTTAATTTTTATAAAAACTATTTCTGTCTTATATTTATTTATATGGCATTTGTTCATTTAGAAAAAGTTAATAAAAATAATATCACGCTTCAAATTAGTCAAACTCATAAAACTTTGTCAATCGAATGCGTTATACTTTTATGAATTATATTACGTAATACAATAAATTTCAAGCGAGAATTGGTAACGACGATATTGTCTATAAATATTTCCTTAAGTGCAATGTAATTAGTTAGTAGTCAATAGATTTTTTAATTGTTGATCGTGCAATTTTATTAACTATATCTCATAAAATTTATCTACGTTGAGCTTACTATATTTTGTACCAGTGTTTTCAATTCTAAAGATGTAATTACTTATGGTATAATTGTGATAATCATTTTCATTCATATCTATATAAATAATCAAATTAGACTTGAAATTAAGATAATAAAAAATAATCTTGATAAAATTCTAATATTTAGGGAATTTATTTCAAATTTACTTCATAGCGCTTGTCAGCTAATTTATCTTTTTTTTTTTTAATCATTGATTTGAATTGCGTGTGCCATAAATTAAAAGAAAAAATTATTTTCAAAGATTTATTATTTAATGTAATTTCTGTTTTATCGATAGTTAAATAAATTGGTCATTCGTTATTAATCGAAATTGCTAAAATTCCAAATAAAAATGTAAGAAATAATTTAATTTACATATTTTGTTATATTAAACAAGATATATTAATTTATAAAGTATAAGTCATCGAAATCAAATTAATCCGACTTTAAGAAACGACTCTTTTTATTTATTTCACATATTATATTTAGATTATCTAGTTGATATCGATATAATTGTAAATTACCCAATACAGATATCGACGAAATTTTGTGATATTGAAATTTTAAACAAAATACTTAATTTTCTACACTTTAAAGCTTAATGTATCAGAATGGAGTCTTAGAAAGACATTCTTAACTATTTAACATATCAATAAAAATTATTTTTTGTCCATCAAATGTTCTTATTCACGCATATTGAATAAAAATATATGAATTGAATTTATTACCTCACGGGCGACGTGAACGAAACATTATATTTACTTGTCTTATTATATTATTCCTAAAATTCAGCTAGATTGGTTTACGTCAGAAAAACTTCATTCTTTAACATCAGACTGCACTTCCACCATAAAACTATATTGTGCATTTGAATGATTGGCATTCGGTTGGGTGTCGATAATATAGGTATCATTGCCGGTAAAGGCGCTCCCCTTTAAAGGCGTGGCAGTCAGATGGAAAGTAAGAAGAAAGTTGTGAAGGAGTAATGGGATTCCTGAAAGCTCGATCATGCGCCAGTGTAGATTCTCTCACGTATAATCCCTCGTATACCTGTAAGCTTGAAATTAATTTTGAGATGAGCGAGTTTGGCGCTTTTCGGCGGCCCGAGATCAGAGGGGAAACGCGAGTTTTGAGCCTCCGAGAGCTTAAGTTAATTGGTCGATCTCGACTCAAGAGGCGCGTCTCTTATATACCAATTAAGTGAATGGCGGTATAAGTTATTTCACTTTATTACACAATTTAAGATATATGACTATTTAAATTTGTTAGGAATAAAAATTAAATTCGACATTTTACAATAAAACAAAAATAACACAAACATCGTTATTAAAGAAATCTTATTTGCTACTTTTAAGCGCTTTGTTTAAAAAATTTTTTTTATATTTTCCAAAAAAACAATGGCCATGCAAGGATAATTCTTTAATAACTTATAAGATACCTAATGTATTTTAAATTTGTTTGGCACACTTTATAATTCGAATTTCAGCTTTATGTCATATAATTTACAATTACTTATAATTAAATTACTTTGTTAACGTAAGAGGGTATTGTAATTTTTTAACTAAGTACACAATTTCTAAAGACACATCAATACTATAATAATAATACAATAAGCATAATTAAACATTTTCTATACTTGTAGAATATTATTTTTTCTATAAGAGATTTTTATTCATTATATATATTTTTATTTTATTATATACTTTTTTTTATATTTTTTTGTATTTCAAATTATTTTGAATATCTTTCGTTAAAAAATTTAATAATGTATGATTTTTGTTACTAGTATATATTTAATAATTTTTATCGTTCCATTAATTATCTTTACAATTTAATTATATTTATAACATAATTACAATAATTAATGAATAAATATAATTACTTTATTTTTAAATTCGAAGATTTAAACAGATTTACCTGTTGGGACAAAACAAATGATATAAGAATGCTAGAATGTATAATTATTTTTAGTAAATTTATTTAACTAATGTATAGGAATGTGAAAATCAATTGCATTTGAAAATTTGTGTTTGATAATATTATTAAATTTATTAATTCAAATAGTTGACAAAGTTTTATTCAATGACAGTGACAATATCACACAGATCACGATTTATCTTATGCAAATATATTAACAATATTTTTTTTTCTTTTCTGCACTGTCATAACAATATTATACGTCACACGTAATATATTTTTAACATAATTTATATTATTTTCGATTCAAATTGCCTTTTTCTTATAGGATTTTTTTTTAAAGACATCTTACTCTTTCAATTTTGCAAATATTATTCTATGTAAATGTTACTTTAGCTTACGTAGGATTATGAAGAAATTAATTTATATTAAAAAAGTTTTATGAAAATTTATTATATTAAATATATATATGTGTGTGTGTGTGTGTGTGTGTGTGTGTGTGTGTGTGTGTGTGGAATCGATTTAAATATGAATGTCTATTCATATTTATAGGAATATAAATGGAATTAAAAAATTAGTTATTAATAAATAATATTATTTTGTATTTATATTAATAACTGCATTAATCGTATAATATTTAATAACTTTATCTTTCGTAAACTTATTTAAATTATTAATTTCACTTTATAACATTAACAAACTTACAAATTAATATCTAACAAATACCTTTATATATACAGTAAAATTTAGTTTTTTCAATGAAATAAATTAACAATTAATTTCGTTATTAGATCATTTTGCATTATGCTTACGAGTTATTTGTTCTGATGATATGAGTAATGTATAAAGTTTTACAATAACTATAAAGGAAATTTATGTTAACATTTTTGTATTTGTAATTAGAAATTTGCATGGTTATTTAAATCCTTTTTTTTTTGAGAATACTATACTTTTAATATATTATGATTTTTTGAAATTATTTAATTAAATTAAACATTTTAAATTAGTAATTAATTTTACCACGGGTATGAAAATATATTCGAATTAATTAATAAACTTTTAATTTTTATATTAAATTTGTTCAAATGTTGTTTTCAAATAATGAATTATTGACCTAAACAATGCATCATAACAAAAATTTTTAAGAATATTCAATATCATTAATATCAGCAATTGATTCATAAGTTTAATATTATCTTTATATATAAATAATATGCAGGTACTATTAAGACAACTGATAAATTAAACTATAAATTCTCTAATATTTACAAATTTTCATAATATAATTGTTTATTATTCCGAGTATGTTAATGCACTGCTAAGTTTATTGGTAGAAGATGCATATTTTATTATATAAGTAGTTAACACAATGCCGAGACAAAATTGACTCACCCAAGATACCGACTTCTTTGGAATCAGTTGGATATACTGTCTTGTATGTCAACGTTTAAAAAATTTTTGATCTTATGATAACGGACAATCCATTATAACGCGCATTACAAGAGGCAATACGATACTAGAGAATAAATTAAATAAGAAAGAAACACAAATCTTTTATGTATGCGTCTAAATGGATAATAAAAGTGGAGGGGATTGAGTACATGAGAGGAGAATAGAATATACATATTATTATATTATATTATACGTTCTATTATATACATTATATTATAAAAAAATGATGTTCAACATTTGGAACCATTATGTAAAAATTGAAAATTAACTTAACTAATTGTTTAACATAGTATTTATTTTCATAAATACTAGAATTGAATAAAAGAAATTCTGTAATTTTCGAGTGTTCGCGGTTACTTCGGCATTAAATATGCATAAGTTAGAATCTTTTTAAATTCGAATGTAATAATTTGAATGGCTTTAAATTTTTCCGTTAAACTCTTATCTCAATGAAGTGATATCATTCTAATATATAAATATTTATTGAAAATATTAAGTTTTAAAAATATATTTTATTTAGACATTTTTTAGTATGATAATGATTGTGACGCAGTAGACATTTAAATGATAAAAACATTAAGGAAATAATATTTTTAATTCAGTGTAACGATTAATTAATTACTATCTACGGAAAATTACCTTGAACATTTTTTCAATTTTTAAATTACAAAATAATTACAGTACATTATTCATTCATTCATTTAATTAATTAATTTATTTATTTAATTAAGCTATTTATTACATTTATTAAATTTAATCTTTAAAGTGAAAAGTGT